ATATGCTAGCTCAATTTTGAAGCGAGTTAGACACCTTTGAAGCTTGCGAGAGTACAGAGAAACGAGAGTGTCCGCGTCTCTAACCACCTTACTTCAATTAGCTGTACCTAGACTCAAAATGGTCCGTTTTTAGTGATTTTTATTGTATTTGGATGGAACGAGAAGAGAGAACCTTTATAAAAGACCTATTCAAAAATGTTTAGAAAAATAATCCGGGACTTCTGTACAAATACTGGCAAAAATTAACAATTTCACAAAAATTTTAGTGAGCATTCAAAAATCTTTTTTCAGAACTTAGGTCAAATTTTACACCATTCTGACCCACTTGAAATTTCTTACAAAACTAATTAAAAATCAATTTGCTAGCACAATTTTGAAGCGAGTTGTGCGCCTTTGAAGTTGGCGAGAGCGCAGAGAAACGAGAGTGTCTCTCTAACCTCTCAACTTCAAATGACTGTATCTCAGCTCAAAATGGTCCGTTTTGAATGATTTTTAGTGAATTTAAAACAAGAAAAGTTGTAGAATTGAAATTTACAAAAAGTTAAAAAAGTTCAGAATCTTAATTTTTGGAATTTTCGCAGAAATCAAAAATTGAGGATTTCCAAGGGTTTTCCCTTTTTTGAAGCAAACATTTTTAAAAGTTTTTGAGCTTTCAAAACTCGCAAAAATCTCAAAAAAATATTTCTAGAATCCTGTTTTCGAAAAAAAAACACTGTTGTTTCCCATAAATTTTATATCACCTACTGCGATTTCGTTTGGTTTCAAAATTCCAAAAAAGGACCACTTTCGTAAATATGTTTTGTTTAGAAGATACTAATAATTTTCCAAAAAGATAGTTTGTAAAAATTAGTGTTTTCCCTCCAATTTTCTTCAAAAAAAGAGCTATACAAAAAGTAAAAAAGAGAAGGAAAAACTTGGAATTGGGTTGTTTTTTTCCTTTTTTGGGTCCTCAAGTAAAAAATGTTTTCAAAAAAACAAAAAAAAGAATGAAAAAGCAATTACCAGAAGAAGCGGTGTTTTTGAGTTTTGACTTTGTCTTTCATTTTTGAAAAAAGGAGTAATACAACTCGTTTAAAACAGTTTCGAAAAAATTGAAATAAGGAGTTACCGTAAAACCTGTATTAGAAGGGCCGGTCCTTCTATTTTTCCAATGTATCTCCGGAGGGTCCTTCTATTACAGGGGCCTTTTAATTAGAGGGGGCCCTTCTATTTTTCCTGCCACTTTTCCCGGAAATTTTCATCGAAAAATTAGTCGAATTTTTTTTCAAATTTCATGAAAATCCGTCAATTTAACCAAATCTGGGCAAATTTTATCAAAAAATAGTGTTTGAACAAATTTCTATTAAATTGTGGGATTCCCGGAACGTTATTCACTAAAAAAACGGAGTTTTTTTTTAAAGGGGGACTCCGACCAGAAATTTTTATTGCATTAAAATGTTTCAAAAAATATGTATTTTCATAATATTATTGCGAAAAAATTCAAAAGAAATCCTAAATCCCCGAAAAACGGCGTTGAAAAAAAACAGAATTTGAATTCCCGCG